GAAAATGTCACCCAAAGAAAGAAAAACACTTCAAAGGAAGTATTTATGGAATATCCTTTTTTCAGAGAATGAAGCCGCTCGCGCTTGAGTTCATCTTAACTGTCGTCACTGGACGTTCCACAGTTTCTTCCTGGAGCTCTTCTATCCCACGGGCTCTGCATAAGGTAATCTGTCTATGCAGGATGTAACTTTTCCTTTTCCCTTGGAAAGAAATTTACTTTTTACTCTCCAGAATAGCATAGTATTCTGTGTCTAAATGGGTATAAATAAATGCTCTGAATTTGGTGTTTCTAGTTAGGGCAGAGTGATTGATTGGCTGTTTTCCCAGTGCAGTCTTGATGATTAGAGTTTTGCTTGGGGCCATAGACTATACATAGTTATGTACCACAGCTCAAAACTGATCAAAATCAATCATATTCGCCAACATTGTTTTCTTAGACTGTGTACATTTATATTGTTTTCTTTTCCACTGAGATGATGTATTAGCTAGGCCTTCTGAAGAAAAGAAATTCACGAACACTGATGAATGGGAAGTTTGGGGGATGCCATAGAAAACCTCCACCACTCAGTGTGTCTTACTGTGGTGGCTTGTAGGTTGCTGGGATGCCAGAAGCTGCACCACTGGTATTTCAGATCCAGCAGGGTCAGCGTAGTGGAGGTTTCTGCAGAGCTTCCAGACTAAGACAGACTAGAAAGGGAGGACCTGGTGACCTCCTTCTGAAGGTATTTGGCAAGTGGAGACCCTGTGAACATTGTCAGTTATAGTGCTGGAAGATGAGCCCGTTGGGTTGGAAGGATTCAAAGTATGATTTGGGAAGAGCTGCCTCCTCGGCGTCGAGCTGTCCTTAATGACATAGGTGGAGTCAAGTTTTGGGGAATCTCGTTTGCTGATGTGGCACAGGTGTAATGTGAAGAAATAGCTGTCAGCATCCAGTAATAATCAGAATGTAGAACAGATGACACATGAATCTAGGAAAATTAGGAGTCATCAAACATGAAGTAGAATGCATAAAGATTGACCTCCAACGCACTAGTGAGCTGAAACGGACTGCTGGTGGCCCTTTGGAGTCTGTCAGTCATCTAACTCTGCCAGGCACGACCACTTGAAGAGAAATGGCTTCACAGTCATCGTCAAGAACAGTTTACGGCAGATCCTGAAGTACATATGACACCATCAGCTATAGGATAACACACAAACACCTAATAAGGAAGATCCGTTAATATGACTGTTATATCTACCATTAATGCCAAAGATGAAGAAACTGAAGATTTTTGCCAGTGTCTAGAGTCTGAAAATGATCAAACATACAATCAAGGTGCCTTGATAAGGACTGGTGATTGGGATGCAAAAGTTGGACAGAATCAGTAGTTAGAAACGGCGGCTTCGGTGACAGAAAGAGTGTGGAGATCACATGACAGAATTTTGCCAAGGAGCCCCAGTGTTGAAATGATTAGGCACTCAGCTGCTAGCTGAGAGGTCAGCAGTTTGAACCCAGCAGCCACTCCATGGGAGAACATTGTGGCGGTCTGCTTCTGTAAAGATACCAGCCTTGGAAACCCAATGGGCCAGTTTTGCCCCGTCCCCTAGGGTCCATATGAGTCTGAATTGACCTGATAGCAATGGGTTAGTAAGTTTGTTGCAAGCTCTTTGAGATCAGGACTGACTCATTTGAGTTTTTATTTCTTAGATTGCCAAGCATATAGCAAGTGCTTCATGCTTTATAAGGAGTCTTTGGGACAAATGGTCAAGTGCTTGGCTGCTGACCGAAAAGGTGGAGGTTTGACTCCATCTGAGGCAGGAGCTATGCTTCAAAAGAGTCAGATTTGAAAACCCTATGGAGTGCAGTTCTACTTTCAGGGGGTTGCCATGGGTAGGGACTGGCTTGACGGTAACTGCCTTAGTTTGGGGCTTAGTGTTTTGTAGCTAAAGTTACTTTTTTGGGATGGTTTATCTTTTAACCTTGAGTCATATCATCCTTTTAAAGCCAGAGGCTTTTAAACAGCCAGCCCACAGTTTTCTTCTCATGGGGTGCTTTAGAACTGATTCAGATGGAGCTACATTGTTTATGGGCTCAAGGTGGAGGATGTTGTTACTTACCTTCCAGTCAATGAAAGGCTCACAGACACTGTGTGGTATGTGTAGAGTAGAATTGCTCCTTAGTGTGTTCAAGGCTATGTTCTTTCAGAAGCAGGTCACAAAGCCTGTCTTCTGAGGCACCTCTGGGTGGATTCAAACCATGAACCTTCTAATCTAATGAAATTGTAGATCTCCCTCAGGGGCACCAAGTTAAGAATCCTTGGTTTTGGGGAAGTGGTGAGAGTAGCCTCTCTCTCTGGTCCTCTAGGCTCCTCCTCCTAGTTGCTCCCAGATGCCCTGGGTTCAACAGTTCACCTACCAGCTGGGGCATCCACTCAGTTTTGCAAGCAAAGACCACCTTGCTTCTAGAGATTTTTTATTCATTGCTGCTGGGCTCCTTGGTTAGGATACCTGGTCACCCAATCAGCTTTACCTGCTGCTTGTGGGACTTTCTAGACTTACCTGTCCTACCTCAGTGAGTGTATCTAGTCTAAGCCTTCCCAGGCAACACACTGACGGCCCAAGTTGACCAACATTGTAACTGTGTTTTGGTTGTTTTTTTGTTTTTGTTTTTTGGGGGGGTGTTGGCCAAGAAGGGGTGATGGCAGAGGACTTAGAGATAGATCAGATTTATGTCCTCTTCTTGTTGACAAGGAGACTCTCTTCTTTTCCCACTAAAAGAAAGAAAACCCAGGAGATCTGGAAGAACCTACCCCATCTCTTCAGCCACGTTGACCATTGAATCTCCTTGGGTTGTTTCTGGAGAAGCATTTCCATTTGCAAGAGGTCTTTGTATTTCAGAGAAAAAGATTAATTTTGGCTTACCCACCTGTGGGTAGTAAACGGGAACTATGTGATGCACTGTTTCAAAGTTACCTGTAGCATACAAAGAATTGAAAGCATTCTGCTTTGAAATGAGTAACTACATTGTGAAACTGGCATATCACACTTAGAATATCTAAAATATATTTTATGAAATGGAATTAAATAAAGCTAAATAGATCATCAGTAAAACCAACACTAAATTTCTTATTCAAGATAAAATATTGGACTTTCATACTTAAAAACACATACAGCAAAGTTCATAGTCAACTCTCATAGACAAACAGGGTTTACCAACACTGATATAAATAACAATGGCCCTGATGGCTGTTCTGAATCAGTTCATTTTTCCAAAGTGTTTTAACTGTTAGGATGCAGATTAGTCATCTGTCACTTATGGAATATGCTCTCACCTTTATTTTGGCACTTCGCTTCCATATCATTTACCCATCTATAAATCCTCCTGACTTGCTAGCAGTGATTTCCTTTGGGGTAGGGACTGCCTCGTTCACCTTTAATCCCTAGCACATCCTAGCCGAGGCACATCCTGCTTGACACAGTAGAGGGTCAGAGAAAAAAGGAAGACCCTCAGCAAGATGGATTGACACAGTGGCTGCAACAATGGGCTCGTCATAGTGAGACTGGGGCAGGACCTGGGCACATGCAAGATGCTCAACCACTGTTTATTAAATGAATAAACCATTCTATGAACGCTCTGAAAAAAGCAAATGCTAAAAGGTGTGCGTCTATGATGGAATTAGGTGCTTATGCTTTCAAAGTTTAGGTATGTAGTTACATGGCTATGTTTAGGACTAGATGTTTTCTCATAAGATGCTTTAAGTCCGAGGTCAATTTCCCTATGCTTTTCCCCTAATCCCACAGGTAGAGTGCCAAACCAACAAGGCCATCAAAAATATGTGTAAATACGGCAGGGAGTGAGTCCAGGCTGAACCCCCCACAGTGGGGTGAACCAAGAAGGGAACATAACAGATCAGCAACAGGAGCAAAGCAAAGCTACGAAGCCCCTGAGGAGCCCCCAAAATAGACTTTAGACTAGGAGAGGCAGTTCCCAGAACCCCCCATGACCAGTGGGGAAATAGTCATAAAGGTCAGCTCACAGATCTGGAATTTATCTATGCATTTTTTGCTAGTTATTATTAATTTCATATATATATATATTCTTTTTATTTTTATTCAATTTTGGGGTTTTTTTTTGTATTGTCTACATTATTGTTGGTTTGCCTACCTATATAAGAGGGGCATGGGTAACAAGCCCGAGGAGAAAGCAATGGGACCGAAGGTTCCGGGGGGACTTAGGGGGAGGAGGGGGCTGGGGCAGGGAGTGGTGAGCAAACAACACCATAGACAGGGAAACAAGTAGGGAATTAAAATCAACAAGGAGAACACAGAGATCCTGGGGATGTCGGAGCAACAGCAACCTAGCTGAGAGGAATTACTCAGAGGCAGAAGAAGGGCAAACATGATGGTAGGAAAGGAAGAAGGTGAAAGAAACAGGAAAAGATCTAGGAAGCAAAGCTATGGATAAGTGTGCACTTATGTAACTATATTAATTCATAAAAATAGAGGTCTTGGCATGTGTACATATATTTATATGGCAATACACTGAGGAAGTGGACAGACTTTGGTCTTATGCTCAAGACCTCACTCTACAGAAGAACACTTTGTAATAACAGCCTGGCATTCTGTGATGCTCTCCCTCCTGCATGATCACTGAAGACAATATGGGTGCATAAGCAAATGTGGTGAAGAAAGCTGATGGTGCCCTGCTATCAAAAGATATAGCATCTGGGGTCTTAAAGGCTTGAAGGTAAACAAGGGGCCATCTAAGCTGAGAAGCAACAAGCCCATACGGAAGAAGCATATCAGCCTTTGCAACCATGAGGTGTCCATGGGATCAGCTAACAGGCATCAGAAGACTACAAACAAACAAACAAAACATTTTGTTGAGAATGAAGGGGGAGTCAGAATAGGGACCTAAAACCCATCTGTAGACAATGGGACAGTCCCTTAAGGATCTCAAGGAGGGGTTGAGTCAACCAGGCTGAAGTATAGCACCAATGAAACACAATATTCCTTGAGGCTTCTTCACCCCCCACTATCATGACCTACCTTTCACTGTGGGCTAGGTACACAGGTACAGATAAGAACTCAGGACACACAGAATCCAGGTCAGATAAACCCCTCAGGAACAGAAATGGGAGTAACAGTAGCAGGAGGGTAGAGGGAAGGTGGGAGGGGAGTGGGGGGAAGAAACCTCAGGAGAAGACAGCAGTCAGGGTAAGACAAAAACAATAACGTATAAGTTATCAAGGGGTCATGAAGCTGAGGGGGCGTTGTTCAAAAGAGGACCTGATACCAAGGGCTCAAATAGGAAATGTTTAGAAAATAATGATGGCAACATATCTACAAATATGCTTGATACAATTGATGCATGGCTTGTTATAAGAGCTGTAAGAGCCTCCAATAAGATGGTCTTTATAAAATATGTGCAAAGTTTGGAGGTGCCAAAACTATCATCTTCCTAAGACTTTCTAGTCCATTACAATGTATTTGTAAAGAGAGACCTTAAAGGGTTTGCTTTAGGGATTCCAAAGACCGAAATGGTATTTTGTACATTTTAAAAACTGATATAGCTTGAGATTTTCATTTCAGAAACTGCTTGCCTTGGTGCAGGTAACGTGCCACCGGCTGCACACCTTGGAACAGGATCTTGAGCGCCACATACACATCTCCACAAAGGGACTGGTCGGCCTGGGAGGCCCAGATCTGTAACTTTTCCTTACGTGGCGCTGACTAACGCAGCAGGCCGAGGGAGAATAATAATTAGTGTCTTGGTTATCTGGTACTGCCTTCACAGAAACACCAAACCTGGTTGGCTTTAACAAACAAATATTTACCATATATACTCGAGTATTAGCCGACCCGAATATCAGGCAAGGCACCTAATTTTATCACAAAAACTGCATTAAAAATGTGCTGTGAAGCTCGGCTTATACACGAGTATGCAGGGTAGTCTCAGTTTGGGAGGCTGGAAGTCTGAGTTCAGGGCACCTGCTTCGAGGGATGGGCTTCTCTATCTGTGGGCTCTGGGGAAAGTCCTTCTCTCTTCAGTTTCTGCTTCCTGGGAGAGCTCAAGGACCCTGGGGGAGAAGTGGATTGTGCTTTCCGCTGTTAACCTCAAGGTCAGCAGTCCAAAATCACCAGCTGCTCCTGGAGAGAAAGATGAAGCTTTCTACAATCTCATAAACCCACAGGAGCAGCCTTGCTCTGTCCTATAGGGTCACTATGAGTCAGACTCAACTCAATGGCATTGAGTTTGGGGTTTTGTTTGAGGAGGTCATGTAGCTTGCCATCTATCGTCCCTCATCTCTGCTTGTTTAATCTGCTCCTTGTATGTTTTGTAAGAGATTTACTCAAAACACACTTTACATCGCTGTTTCCCAAAGTTGGCTATACCACCTCTTGGGTGAGGCTGGACCAATTCAGGGGGTCTGTGGAAGCAAACACCTACATTTATTCTGGATTTTGGGTTGCAATGTTAATGTTAAGTTCCTCTGCCAGCACCTGGTTATGGCAAGAGGAAAGCACACACGCATCCCCAGCAACAAAGGTTTATTAAGCATAGATTAGGTAAACTTCGGGAGCAAAGCAGGTCCCCTCTTGAATGGAGATGGGTTCCAGGCTAGGGAAAGGATTGTTGGTTTTACTGGAACAGTCAAAGGGGTGGAGATCTTAATTGTCCTTCGTCCATTTGCTTTCTCATTAGTCTGTTCTTGGGGCTCCTGAAGGAGCCCAGGAGATTTAGTGGTTATGTGTTGAGCTGCTAACTGCAAGGTCAGCAGTTCAAAACCACCAGCCGGTTTGCTGGAGACAGATGGGACTTTCTACTCCTTAAAGAGGTACAGTGTCTTAAACTCAAGGGGCAGTTCTATGCTGTGCTATTGGGTCACTATGAATTGGCATAGACTTGGTGGCGCCGAGGTGAGGGGGCATGTCCTGAATATTTCCTAATTAGGTGTAGCTCAGGCAACAGTTCCATGTTGGGATGTTGATTTTGAGTCTCCAAGCGTGCCTTTAAGTCCATTGTTTCTTTAACAGGTGCAAACGTTTTCACTCACGCACTGAGTAATTTATTTATTTTCCTGAAAACGAGACAGTAGGTAAAATAAATGTGGGAACCTATGTTCTACACGAGAGCCCTGGGTTACCAAAAGGCAAGCGGCTCAAAGCTACTACCCGATTTTCGCTTCTTTAAAGATCTGCAGCCTTGGGAACCCTCAGAGGCAGTTCCACTCTGTCCTGTAGGATCGCTGTGAGTCAGAAACAACCTGATGGCAGTGATTTTGCTGTGCCTGCCACAAATCCTGCCTCGTTAACATAACAAAGGCACCCCATTTCCCAGTGGGTGAATAACCTCCGGCATAGAGGTTTGGGGAGGGTAAGAGTCCGTCCATAGCAATGTCCCCCAGCTTTCTTAGTCACATGAGGCCAGTGAACAGAACGTGTCTTAGGTCAGGTGCATCTTAGTCCTCAAGGCGACAGCTTTACTTCTTAACACTTTAAAGAAGGGTGGGGGTTTGTTTGTTTCTGCAGTAGATTTGTCTAATGCAATATGTTCTTTGATATCTGTTTATTTTATTTTTTTGATATCTTGAAAGATGAGGCTGTCTACTCCCGTAAACATTTGCAGGCTCAGAAATCCAAAGGGGAAGTTCAACTCTGCCTATAGGGTCACTGTGAATCAGCATCAACGCGATGGTGGTAGTGAGTTTGAAGGAATTTCTCTAATGCAAGTTGTTGTTTGAGTTCTTGACTGCTGCGCCCACGTGAAATGATTGTGGATTCAAGAAGAATGAAATCTTTGACCACTTCCTCATTACGTGCTTCCAGCTGTCTTCAAGTTCAGCAAGCAGGTTGTATTATCAGCACATGCTCAGGTTGTTAATGGCTCCAAGACAGATGCCTGATGCTTCATATGGCCCATTTCTTGGATTAGTTGTTCAACATACAGATTGGATAAGTAAAGTGAATAC